CTTATTGTAGTCCCTAGGCATGTATATAAAGCCTGGGCAATGGCACCATCACCACTGTCTTCTCCGAAGAGGGAGCTTTGCTCAGCCCTCGCAGAGTGTATCCCCAGGGACTCCCAGCCCTGGATCCCAGATGAGCGCAGGTCCCTTCCTCCAGCCACCACCTACAGCACCCGCAGACATGTCCTCCCACCCCCAGCTGGGAGCTCCCGCTTCTCAGCAAGGAGTCACGCAGAAAACTACTGCAGTACAAACTCAGTACGGAAACTTGAGGAAGGGGAAGGCGATGTTTATTTTAACCTAAAACTGATTTCTCTAACGATTCACTCACACCCACACACAGACAAATGCATTCACCAAAAAGTAGATGTCCATGTGGCCTGGTCAGGGTCACTGTGTGCGACAGAGAGGACAAGGGACACCCACTAGCAAGTCCTAATGACAGCTCTGGCATCCCTCCTCACTGACAGCAAAGAACTGGGTCTTGGACACATTTTTCACATGCTTTAGGAGTCAATGGTTATTACAGGCTGATCTTTATCTCAGCATCTTGCTTACTCAACCCCCCATAAACCCTAGGAAAGCTGCTGCCTGTTGTCTTCTTTCCCTCATTTTGGGCACCTTATCTAAGTCTTCCTCTTGGAACCACAGGAAGCACAACGGCACATCATGGTGTACCCTTGCTTCCATTATCAGGGAACAGGTCTTCCAGTGATGAGCCATCTGTGCCGAGGCCTTATCACAGCACAGACCTCCTGGTCCTGACACAAACCACACATCCGGCGGTGTTTACCCATTTGTTTGCTGTCATTTGTGTCTTTGGGCATCGGCACAAACATCCACACTAAGAATATTTCCTTTACAAACCCCTACAGTTACTGCTGCCAAAGGCAGGATTCCTATTATAAATCACATGAACTCTGCTAGTAAATTTTAAGTCTGAGCCAGCCAGGCTAGCTCCAACTGCTAGTAACAGGCTGGTTCACATTTAATGGTGTTTTATGCCGACATGGATAAATGGCTTCTCCAGGCAGCTGCTTATGAGCTTCTCAAGGTGAAGGTATCTCCAACAGTAGGAACATGAGCAGCCCCCAGGCCACCTTCCCATGCCTGGGCACTGAGACATGCCCAGGGCACAGCTGCAGGGCAGTGGGCAGGGACATGAAGGTCTGCAGGGACCATGTGTCCACATGGGCAGCCAGAGCACCCAAGAAGAGGCCAAAGGGAGCAGAGAAGAGACAAGAGATGCGAGCTCTGGGCTGTGCCTCTGCCACTGCATTCATCCTTGGCTCTGCTACAGGGACCTTGAATGCTCCAGAAGTCAGCAGCTGAGATTCCACCTCTTAGAAAATGAATTGCTGAAAAATAACTATTAGTAACAAAATAAGAGCCTTACCGCTGGGGATGGAGAATTTCCTTTTCCACCATACCTTCTCCCCATGTCAGAAACGTAACTCAGCGATGATTAGATGTGACCAAAGGTTAAGCACTGTGTAGGACGGCTTTGGGGAGAGAGAAAGACCCGAGACCCGACACCAAGCATGGACAACTCCACCTCCCAGCCTTCACTCATAATTCGATTGATGCTGGAGAAAGCCCATGAGAGAAAGAAGTGAACTCTCCAGCAACGCTATACTGTTCCAAAAATTAAACAACGCCTTTTAGTGCCCGCCGCTGGAGGATCCTGGAGCACTTAGTGCTATTTAGCTTAGTGATAAGGAACTGCCTGAAAACCATGCTATGGAATAGGTGATTTCCCACCCAATTCCTTTAAGGGACATATTGAGGCATGGAGAGGTGAAAAGAAGGTACATATGTTTGTGGGAGAAGAGCCCCTCCATGAAGGCAGGCATGGCTCCCAGTCCTGATTCACAGCACTGTGCTGACAGGGCTCCTCCTCCCCCTGCAACGGCAATTACCCAAACTCGCCATTATTCTCCCAAAACTCTCAGTGTTACTGAAATGTAATTTCCACTTCACTAACCAGACGTGAGACCGTATGACTGAGCAATCCAGACTCTTCAGACAATGCCAACAAACAAAACTGAAAGTTGGTAACTCCCACCTGGTACTGTTAAACTCCAGAAAAGCTCTGAACTGGAAGTTTCCAGGAGAGACCAAGCATCGCCTTCTCTGTGTGCTCCAGCCACACATCTGAGACTCCCCAACGCTACTCCTCCAACAGCTTCCTTCTGCTGATCTGAGTGCAATAACTCACCCCAAGTGCTGTCATGTCCCCATGGAGGAGGCACAAAGGGAACACATGCAGTAACAGGTAAGACATGGATGCAACATGGGTGAAAAAACCTGTTCTAGCTACCACGGAGAACCAAAATATGAAGACATAGCAACAGCCCAGGTGAGCAAAAGCAAGCACAAGCCCTCCAAGGATGGTTTGGGATCATTTCCATCACTGACACCCAGACACCAGGCTGGCCACTGGGTCCTCAGCAATGCAATGCTTACAGGTACCTCAAAGTCAGCTCCCGTGCCTGGGACATCTCACTCAAGACTGAGCAGGTCTGGAGGCTGCTGATGATGGGAAAGATCAAGCCAGCCCAACCAGCTTGCCCTGGAGCCTGCCCCTCTCATCCCAGGAGAATGGCAGGTCCCACAGGGAGATGCTTGTTGCCGCCTCCTCTCATGCCTCACTCAGAGTCTGAGCCTGAGGGAACTGCCTTCACCTCCCAAAGGACACAGGGAGACTCTGTACACCATGAGATGACTCTGGTTTGCGGTTCCCAGGGCTGGGGATTTTAACCAGCCTACTATCAGTTCAAGCTAACATACATGTCACACCTTCCCTTGCAATCGCCAGGGGCTTGCAGGTCAGAACTAACCCCGGGGACTCCTTTTCCTGGATATTTGGCAACCTCTGTAGACCACAGAGCAATCTGTAATTCACCATCTGCATGATGCACTACTGACTAAACAGTGCCCAGATTGCAATTATGAGTGTCTTTTCATTCTGCACCTTGAGTGTGCACTGGTGTCCGTGTTCCAGGATCCATCAGAAACACCAAACTCTTTCATTCCCTGAGGTACGTCAGGGCCACGGAGAACTGGAGCGATGCCTACGTGCAAACTGAGTGACAGTGAAGGATGTGCTGAGGAACTTCCCCAAGAGTTGCACAGGCAGTGACGATAATGAAACCCTGAATGGATGTGACAGCTTTGGAGCTGACACCAATCGTCCATCGCTCACCCACGTGAAGCCTGTGCAGGCACAGAGAGGAACGATTTCTCACAAACTCATGCCTGCTGTCAAAAAAAAAAGGCTGTGGAGGAAGTCAGGTACATCTAACTGTCTACTTTCTGGGAGGTGCCTGAGACATTCAAAGACATCTGCAGGAATTTGTGATTGTTATCCTTCATCACAAAAACAATGTATCATGTCAAGCCACAAACCAAAGGGATTTTGGTAGGAATAAGTCAGTAGATGGCTATGTAAATATCCCAGACAACGTGGATTTGGATCCAGAGCTGGTTTTGTTTTTTCTCTATCATCTTCCCACAAAGAAGGCAGAACACAACCAGGGTAACAGATGAAGGTGAGTGTCACGCAGCACCTGGGCCAGGTGCCACCTCTTCCTCAAGGAAGGAGGGAAAGCAGGGACGCGTGGCCAGGCTCCAGCAGGGAGCACCGCCTGCTGCCAGTCCTCGTGCAGCCCCGGGGAGCTGCGGGGGCCGATGCCCAGGCACAGAAGTCTCCTGCCAGCTCCCAGCTCAGGCACAGCTCCTCTGCAGAAAGCTGCTGGCCGTATCCCCACCTGACCCACAAGACAAGGGTAAAATTGTGTGTAGCAGCACTCCACGGGGCAATCAACACAAGCCAACTGAGCATCTCCCACCTGGAGCCAAGCAGGGGATCAAAAGCCTGAGGGCGAGGGCAGTGAAGCAAAATCCCCAAAACTGTAAGGCATCAGCACAGCCAGACAAACATCTCCAGGCTCATCTCTCTGCCCTCCTTATAAAGTCTCCTGACTTTACAGGGGGGGCACAAAGTTAGAAAAGTGAATATTCAGCCACAGTCTTCCATTTAATTTGCATGGTTTTGTCTCCTTTTTTTTTTTTTGGCGGCAAGGTGTCCAACCACCCTGCATTGCAGCAGGGATAGAAAGGGGGTCTGCTTTCACATCTGAGTTTTATTTATGCAGACTTTCTTAAATTACTATTACCCCTTTTTTACACCCCTAGGAGGCACATTAAATCTACACGCGACTTTTACCCCAGCGGGCCGCCAGCGTACAACTGGTCCAGTGCCCTGGACATGGAGCAGAAGCCGCAGGGTGGCAGGGATGTCCCCCAGCTCTGCTGCCATCAGGCTTTCGCTCACGTTCACGACACTCACAGCCCACTCACGGCAGGACTCCCTGACTGCATCTATGTTTTTCCTGCAATCTGGAAAATGATGTCACCAAGCAAATGTAGTGTCTCAGGCAGTCAGGCAAACATTTGGAAGGCAATCATCTGGCAGGGCTTGGCCTCCTCAGCCGTGCCTGGCACACCAGTGCAGGAGGAACCCTGGCACAGCAGCACAGTATCCATCTTTTGCGAGAGGCTTTAATCAAGATTCTTCTGTTGTTTGAGAAGAAACAAGGCAGGCAAATCTTAGGAAATGTAAACCTCATTTGCGATACAGAAAAACCTGCAATGAAAGTCCCGAGAACTTAACTGCTAAAGCAAGCCCGACCATGCACTGCCAGACACTTGGCAAACCATCTTTCGCCTCATCCATGACCAGCTTTTCAACAGCAGGCATACAGGGCATTTACAAAGAAGGATCTGCAGGCATAACAAGACTCACCCTTGCTTTAAAAGATGCACAACAGCAACTGTCAGTTAACCAAAAAACCTAGGCTGGGAAGTTGATGACCCAAACTCAGGCAAAGATCAGTGTTTCCAGGGGCTCCCCATTCTCCCCACAGCTGCAGGTTTCAGCCGCACGTTTGCACCACTGGTTTCAGGGTGAATTCTCAGCTGGGAGAGCTCTCCCATCATCTTCACACGCGCCCTCCAGCCATGCCCACTTTCAGGGAAACCCGCGGCGCTCTCTGTATAGGTAAGAAAACGTCTCTTACGTTTTGCAGGGAGTCTTGGTACTGCGGCAGTGAGGAGAGCTGTGTCTCAGAGTGGTATGGGGACAACCCTTTCCTCAGAGTCCTCAGGTCCCCCGTGCTAGACTGCTGCAAAGACAATGACAGAAAACAGGACAGTCCATATTAACAAGAAGGAAAGCTGTGCCCCTCCGGCTATATTAGCTTTTACCATGACCGCTTTTGCCCCATGACCTGTTCCCATTTCCTCTCCCTGCAACAGCAGTGACAGTGAACGTTGTAATAAAATGCTTTTTCCGTGCCCACACCTGGAGAAAACATTTGCAAGCAGTTGGAGGTGAACTGCCCAAGGTCTACTCCATTCAGTAATACAGCAAGAAGGCATTTTTATTTGACCTAAGTTCCTACATGTTCATTAAAAACATCTGTTAAGGTGCAAATGAAAAACCATTTTTAAGATTTCAGATTAAATCAAAATCAGCAAAATAAATCCACCAGGAGACATTTTCTACATTTTTCTTTTTAAAACAGCAGAGGCTATTCCAATCACCTGCATGTGGAAAGCAATGAGAGTTTGTAAACAGTGCTACTGTGATTCACCTAAGCTTGCAAAATGTGCGTGACAGGAACAGTTTCTTATTTGGTTACAAATTTGCATGCACCCATGGGTCTTACACAAAGTCAGGTAAGTAAAGGTAGTCTATATGACCCCAGAAACCGGATAAATGCAATCAATAGTCTGCGGTCAAAGGGAGAAGCAGCACTGTGTGTCGGGAGTACTGGATGATCTCCCCGGGACAAAGTTTCTGCCTCATGTTATTAGTTCTCTCTCTCCTGCAATTCTGAAACAGGATGGTCCTAGAACGAGAAGAGTTTCTCATTTATAAAAGCGCACCCACAAAAAGCCAATATGCAAGTAGCCAAAATCAAAGGTCTGGGAGAAGATTATATCTTTTTATTACCGATAAACATCCTCATTAATTTTTCATATTTTTAAGAGTATCAAACAGTGCACTGTCCTCCTTTTTAAAGCTATAAAATCATGACCTTTTAGATTTTTATGCTCCATTAAGACTTTTGACTTGGATTTGCAGCAGAAATGATGTTTTCTACTTCAAAAGAACCAAAGAAAAGCCACTGGTGCAATAAAATTTAACAGAAAATCTCATAAATCAGCTCAACTGTATATAAAAACCCCTCGGTAACCCCAAAGGCCTGACCATAACCGAGACTTTGGGGACTGTGGCTGTGCACGGATCTCTAGAAATATGGAACGTTCATTTCCATTTCTTGCTCCCATTTAGCAGAGAAGAATTGGTGCGTTCAGAGCGGATAGATCATTTTCTATCACTGTCAGAAACAGTTTCTTGTAGCTACATGGCCTGTTTCAAGACACATTCAGCTTTGGCTTTATTTCAAAATGTCGTTTACTTAGGTTAAAACATCCAGCGTGACCCAGTGCTTTCACAACCATCCTGGCACACTCACCCTATCAACTTCCCTTTTACAAGCTGTGAAGAGAAGGGCAGTTTTCAAGAAAGCCATCGTAAGAAATGGATGCTCGTCCTGTATCACCCAGTTTGCTGGGAACTGCTGTGCCTCACATGGAGTCAAGTGATACGGAATGACTTCAGCATCTTGGATGTCTGGGATTCCCTTGAATTTACAAGGTGGCATCAGAGAAGATTGTGGCCTATATTTCTTTTGCATTTCACAATAGAGAGTCCAAGACAGAAAGATCTGAAGGAGACAACTCCTTCTGAAGCTAAAAAGTGACTGCTGCAAAACTGAGTTTCCTCCACCATGCCTGGGAGGTGTATACTTTCAAAGGAAGGTTAGCAGGTCACAAAGGAAGATGATGGGGAGACTCTTAGTTTATTGGCATTGTCGTAGGCATGTGAAGTGTAGGGGTCTCTTGGTGGTTATCCTGAAAGGATTTTACCCTGCTTGGTTACGCTTCCACTGCCCTGCTGTGTGCAACCTCTCCTTTACTGTTCTATGGGCATGGGAGGACAGCAACCTCCTGGAGACGTCCCAACACTCTGCTACCCACTCCTTTAGTTTGTCAGCTCAGGAGCTCATGCACCCTTCTTTGACATCTGGGACAAATGGGCACTTGCACGGGCAAGGGAAAAGCAGCATAAAACAGCAGAGCAAAAATGTGAGGTTGTATCTTCATGCTGGAGACCCCAGAGGTCACAGATGTCCTCGAAGGCTCTGCTCCAGAAGGACATGTGCTGCCTCACCAGCATTTAGAGGCCCTGGATTGCTCAGACTTTTGCAAACCGCACTGAGACCTGCAAGGTGCCATGTGCTTAGGGGGCCCCAGGAATGTAGAAACAGGCATGAGAAAGAGAGACGTGGTGGGCATTTGTTTGCCTCCCAGAAACTTGTTCTCTTGCTCCCCAATCTGAATGGGGTGGTTACTGTAGACGTAGCACATGTTTCATCACACTACAGCTTCTCCTCCTAAAAGGCAAAATGCCTCACCCACCAAAGGAAGGCAGGCAACCAGACCCAAGTCTAGTCAACACACGATATCATACTGCTGTGGCTAAAAATATGCTAGTTTAAATTGATTTAATTTAACTGCCCTATGCTCCTGCCTGGAGCAAGAGTTTGCATTAATTTCAATTTGGCTTAAATGGGTTGAAATTGTGTTGGTAAATAGACAGATACAGTCAAAACTCTGCTCTAACAAGTGTTTATAATGGATTAGTTCTATTGCTTTTTTTAAGCAAATCCCATTTAAGACAGTGCACTTGTGTGTGACAAAACTATTGTTAGGTTGTTCAGTGACTGCTGATTATGAATCTGACCTAATGCATTCAATTTGATGGAAAGATTCCCACTGAGTTCAATGAACTTCAAAACAAGCTTTTAATTAAAGAAAGAAAAAAAAAAGAGGACAAGGAAAAGAAAATAAAAGACATCTAAGAAATAAAAATTCTGAACACAGATCTATGCAGAAGAGAAACGAGGTGTTTGGGGCATGGGGTGGGTTGAGTAGGGCAAGAAGAATCTTCATATGCCATTATTTGTAACAGATCCGTGCCGGAGATGGCCAAAGACCCACTTTTTTCCTACCACTGTCAGCCATAAAGCCAGTCCCTTTCACAAGCACTCCACTCAATGCAATTTTCCTTCTATATTTTCTATATTTTGTTTCAAAACGTATCTTACGCTAAGTATTTTTTACAACAGCCTACCAATCACAGCTCTGCACTATTTATTTTCCTTGCACTAAAAGCAAATGTGTATTTCCTCACCGTAGAAGGAAAACTGCTTTTTCTTCCTTCTTAAAATTAAAATGGTGCAATGGTCTCATCAGACCTCCCTAAACATTGACGCATGCATTGGGCTTTGCTATCAGTGTTAGAGCTAACCAGGAAAAGAAAGTGAACCCCTCATTAAAAAGCAATATGACTAATGATGCATCAGAATGAGCAGCCATTACTCCACTTAAACCTAAATTAAAAATCCTGGTATTTGCATTGTCAATTCACTCACAAAATGAAATCTCTTATTACCTTACCCAATTTTCATTACTGAGATGTAAGTGGATCCCAAACTGCTTTTCTAGTCAGAATGGCATTTTTAAAATACAATCCCTGATCATCTCTGTTCTTCATCATTGTTGGAGATTATCTCAATTAATGGGCAACATGTCTACAATAAATTACCCTTCAGGTAAAATCACTTAGCATTTCTGGAGTTTCAAGGAATTTATCAGCAAAATCATTTTCATCTGAACTAAAACTCCACGGGAGAGTGCTGTTTCGATCGAACTTTTATTGGGAATGTTTTCTAAGCCGAGGAGCAGAGAGAGGAAGGGACACAGAAAAGGAGACCGAGAGCGAGCTGAGGAGACTCGTAGTCAGTCTTTACTTAACCTGATCAAATTTACAAATTGCACAACCTGAAATACACTTGTCCCCAGCAAATGCCAACAACTGGCCATTGAATACTCTGGAATAGCTCTTGCTCTTTTACTGTGGATTTTTTCCAAACACTAGTTTCATCCAAGTGTTACCAAAAAAAAAGGAAAAGGAAAGGAAACAGGGAAAAAGAAAGCATCTGACTTTCAAAGTGGCACGAAAGTGCAAGACCTCCCCTAGGTCTAACCGAGCATCACTCTACACGGCGTTGCCGATGAGCACGGCGCCAAGCCTGCGGACCCAACACCTTCGCCTTCAGCGCAAACCTGTGCTACACACTGCCAACGCTGACAGCTCCAGCGTCGTCCCCCAGGCACGATAACTCTTCATTAGCTGGAAATAGTGACGTGACATTTATTGCTAAATTTTTCAACTAGGCAGAACTTGAAGTGACCCCAGAAGATACCGCTCTTAGACCAAAGCCCGAGATCTTTGTCAGCCCTGTTATGAAAGAAATGGCAGGGAAGGGAGTTTTGCCCACTCATATTGGGCAGAATAGGACCAACAAATCAGGGTTTTAGTAAAAATAGACTGCAAACCCAACTTTTTCTCTGTCTAGAAAACAGAAGCAATTTGATTATTAACATGGGTGGAAAGTGGTGTTTTTCATTTTAAAAAAGTATCATTTTAAATACTTCAGATAGAAGTTAAAGTCTTGGTGCTTTACCAAAGCCTAAAATTACATTTTAAAAAAAAATCAGCAAGCACTTGTTCTACCAAAGCTTTCCATCCTGCTAGCAGGGAGAAGAAATGGTGGCCTCTGACTTTTTGACCTGATGTGCTGAGTGATACAATTTGAAAATAACACAAATAACACAAGAAGATGGATGGTGTTTGTGGTATTTTAAGGTCACAGTAGTAAGAAGAAACATTTATTTTCCTTTCCGTTGCTGTCCAGTAAAGTCAGATCAGTGCAGTGGCCATGTTGAACCAACTGTGAAGATAAAGTGTTGAAAACTTATAGACAAGTTAGACAAATCATCTTTTCTGTTACCCTTCAGTGTTACTTCTGCTGGAAGGGAGAAAAAAGACAAGGATTTAATTCCAAGGCACTTTAATGTAACAAAAAGGACCATTTTTAACACAAATTAAGTACAGAAAGACAGAAATTCACTTGACAGATATTTCTCAGCATTTATGAAAGAGATTAGCAGAAAAACCAGGACAATTTCAATTAGAATTATGTGCTGAAGTGACCGAGGAAAATTAAAAAGTGACACTGTCAGCTTCCAGTAATTCATGAATTAGCATTCAAAACAGGGTTGTTACATAAGTAGCCCTTAATTGAAAACACAGTTTTCTCCTTCCACGTAAGTTGTAACAGCTGAAGTCTGAACAGAGGTTAAAAAAAAAAAAAAAATAATCATAAATGATCAGTTTGACCCAGTGCCTTTTACAAATATTAAAGCCTTTATAAAGTGTCACCACTTCCCTTCTCCCACGGGCTGCGGGGTCACCTCGGAGCAATTTGGGTGTCTACACATGGGCATCCCGTGCCCGAGCGTCCCCAAGGCACCCGCGGAGGCTTGGCAGATGCGATGAAGAGCTGCTCCAGACCCAGAGCCGTCTGGTACATGGAAGCAGCCAGGAGGGACAGCCTGGTGGCCCCAGAGGACTGCACCGGAGCACCTGAGATGTGGCTCTCGTCACTTCTTTGTAACTTATTTGTAACCTCCTGTATTGTGAAAGCTTCCTCTCGTGGTCCACACGCCATTTAAAAAAAACCAAAAAAGCAAGCACCAATTCGAAGGCCAGGAGTTCTACAAAGCCCCTTTTTGTTTACCTCTGGGGGGGTCCCTTTATAAAGGGATGGAAAAATGTGTCCAAAATGAAGAGGAGAATCAAGCATACATGAGTCTCCGACAGCAGACTTCCCAGAGGACTGTCATTTCAGAGGCTTTACAATAATCAGCTCTGTTTTCCTACAACGCTGACCCACTGGCACTCAGCTCAAGAGTCAGCAGATTATGCACCACACCGCTCAAATTTATTAATATGACATCTGCTATTCAACATAGCATTAGAAAAAATTATGCATCTTAACATGAAATGCATCCTAGATGGAAAGGAATACTGTGATAAAACTTAATATTGGCAATAGAAGAAACCCTTATTGACACCAGTTCAGATGATTTTCTTTGGACAAATGACTCTGCCACACCATCACCCAGCCCTCAGAGAGACAAGCAATTTCCATTTTTTAGTGGTTACTGCACCCTTTTACAAAGCACGGGATTTCCTTTAGCTGTCATTTAAATATCAGGATGAACCTGGTCCTTAGCAATAGGGCACGGGCATCCCATCCTGACCATGTAAGCCCATAAGGATTTGGGCTTATGATTTGGGTAATTCTCTATATGAAAAAAAAGTCTGTATGAAAAAATATGTCATTCTTACTTCATAGTCTTGTTTTACCCCATAAATCTTGGGTGTTAGATGGAAAACTCTGCTGAGACCTTGGCTTTTGATGATACATATTTGTGAAGACAAAAAGAAGGAAGGTTTATTTTCAGTCCACTGGGTCAGGCTGCCTTCATCTTCATGGATTCTTGTACTGCCCATTACCTGAATTATTTGCCTGTCACTGTAATATAAATTCTTAAACCTACCAGCAACAATTTTCTAAACCATAATTGTTCCAGTAATTGAAACTGCCTCAATTTTGACACTCAACAACCCATTGTTTGCAACTGGGTAATTAAAAGGAAGGTTTAGCTC